ATACTGTATAGAGAATAAAAACCTCTACTGTTACTTTTCAATATAACTTTCTCTTAAAGAAGTCCACCAATATTGATATTTTTATAAAATGTATAATACTTTAATAAAGTGTCTAATATTTTTTAATATATTTATTTTATTCGTAATATATCTATTTGTTTATCATATCTTACATGGATGTCATAATTCAAAAAAAAAAATTATGCAAATTTTTAGTCATAGTCATGGTCTGAATTAAAGAGAGGAGAGAATGAGTCGAGTTTAATAAATGAAAATAGAAAAAAAGGGATGACAGAATATTCAAGACGACGTTAACAGAGTGAATGCAAAGCGTAGGTCCGATTAGTCGGAAGCTAGTCTCGGTCATACTACTGAATCGTTCAAGTTTTTCAGCGAGTGAAACATTCGCCGCACGAATCGTGCTGTGCGTGATAACGATTTGCAAGTCCATAATCTGATAGTGATAATGATTACATCAGAGAAGATTACGCAACATGTCAGAATATATTAATGATTCAAATGTTTAATTTATATCAATAAGAATCAAATATATGTTATGTGTATGTATGTGTGCGTGCGTACATGTATGTACATGTACGCGTGTGTCTGTTTAATGTTATTGATAAATAATTGTTTTCAATATATTTATGTTTATGTACAAGTATACATATACGACGAAATAAGCTGAATAAAAAAACACTCACCGACGAATGAATTATTACTCAACTTATGACACATGTGCTAGAAGTAAAAGTGAAAAGTACTGTCTCTTTTCGTTATCAGGGGGCAACGATGTCGAAAGAAAATAGAGATGACAGAATGATTAGTTTTTGGTTCGGCAGTCAGTGATAGTATTGCACCAACGATATTCGTGCACATAGCTGCAGGCGGATATATATGTAATATATGTATATATAGATAAGAAACACAGTATGATGCAACACCAATCTAACACACATATGTGTATATATATATATATATATATATATATATATATATATATATATATATATATAGATTGTCATTAGTGCTAAACATGACATTCTTGCGATCATGAGCGCAAGCGTTTTACCATATCGCAATCAGACGTCAGGCGGATTTCTCGCTCTAAGGAGGATTTGCCTGATAAACAAAGGGTCTTGGATTAATTGACGTAATTTTTATTCGTTTCAAATTATTAGATTTGTTTAATAATGTCATTTATTTCTCTTTAACATATCGCTTAAGTGCTAAAATCTTATTTATAAAAATAAGTTCGAAATAGAAGTAGCTTCTTCGTGCTTTTTCTCACGTTCTTATTTTATTTTTTGTTATTATACATTTCAGAAACGCCCTTCTCGTTATATATTCTATTTTTATGTGTGGTATGACTAGGATTTCAATCTGGACTTATTTCAGGATAATGTGATCGGCAGGATTAGGCTGACATTATTATAAATCAAAGATTGTATTAAAATCAAATATATGTTTACTCAATTTATATTATGATATCTATATGTGCAATTAATAATGATATAAAAAAAAGAGAAAATACTGCAATAGTGCATATACGTATATGTATGCATAAAAAATATAAAACGCATTTATAATTCAAGATACTTTATAAAGTTAAATTGATAACATTAAAAATGTATATCACATAGTTAAATAATTTATTAACTGGCCATGTATTATATCGTTTTCAATGAAATTTTTAGTTACATATTAAATAACATTAAAGATATATATTTCACATGTATAATTTTGAATTAAAATGTAAAAGAAACATAAAAAAACAAGATAAGATGTGAGTGAAATAAAACATAATCATATTTAGAAAACAGAAATATTATCTAATGCACTGAATGCATAGAATTTAATTATATCGACTAAAATCAAATTAAATAAAAAATTTATAGAACAGAAAACAATAATCTTAAAATAAATGTTATTTTTTGTAATAAATATTATGA